ACTCTGTGTTTTAAGGTATGACACACAATGAATTTCTGTATCAGTAGAAATAGTTGCTAAAGACATTAACCCTTAACGCTTTAAAAAAAAAAGCATGTACCAATGCCTTAGCTCTCTCAATTAAAGTGCGTGTTCTGTTTTTGCTGGTTCGAAACCATCGTGAAACCGAAGCCTTGCGTTTCTTCATTTAGTAGTTTGGACTCCGTCCTGTCCGCCATGACAGCCATTAATTGGACAAGTTGATAAATGTGTCTTTTTACATGCGTGCAAAACCATTCGATTCATTTTACTGATAATACTTAAAAGTATTTTTAGCTTTACTTAAATTCCAACTTACGTAAGTTGCCATCATGCGATCTGTGATATTCGGAAGCTGTTTTGTCTAGTATCTGTAAAGTAATGAAAAATGATGCCAAAAATGATTGTTCTGTTCGTGTTTGTTCTGGCGGTTTAATGTGAGACTAAGTGGGATGGAAAGGCAGATCGAACCCTGAAACAATCTCTGGGCTGATCGGCTAAATCGGGGCGCGGCTAACTCACAAATGGAATAAGAATTTAAAATGTTAGGTTAGTGCGGAAGCGTAAAACTGGAGAAACATGAGAAAAACTCGTGAGAAAAACTCCCTGAATCAAGGGATAAGAAGGAAACATTTTGTTCATATTTGATTACGATTCCATTTTGAATCGAATCCATGGAAAATATTGGGAGTGGGGATATATGCTATACTTTTACTTTCGATGATAACAATATCTTAGTATGAAATGGGCATCGTATCTACCCTGAATGTTTATTTTGATTAGTTTCCTCAAGACTTTAAGCACCAAAACGAATTACGATTTTTAGACGACAATACCACGAAATATTGGCGGCTAGTTGGGAGTGAATTCAGTGAATCGCGATACAAGATCGTTGTCTGTAACGTTTGCCATAGTTTATGTCGAGATAGCCTGCGTGGCGGGGGGGGGGGAGGGAGAGGGGGAGGGGGGTACTCCACAAGGGATTTGGGTAGGGGTGTTCCGCTGGGATTCTGAAAGGGGTACCCTGTTTATGATGAAAAAAATTCAAATTTGTAGACCCTGTTTATGACAAAAGATATAATCAATATTGCACTGAGTTTCTGTTTCAATTATCATGTCAGCTCGCGTATCGCTTTTTGAAGACCATAGTAACCAGTTTCAGTCAATACAAAAGTAGAAACCCTGAATATGGCAGGAAACTCAGGAAGAACTTGGAAATTGAGTGAAATTGCATACCCTGTTTATGACAAAAAGCTTGAAAAACCATACCCTGTTCAGCGGTCGATTATCCCTGTATAGTCCATATGTGGGAGTACCCCCCCCCCCCCCCCAGGGATGGAGCCATATACATACTAAAGGGATGATATAAGTGGTGGTGACAAAGGCAATGATGATTAATGATGTTGACAATGATAATAATTTGCCTGATATTTTACATAATTAAGGTATCTCTAGATGGGAAGTTCACTGAACCTAAGAACTCCAAAATTCTTTATGGAACAATGATGTATGTGAGAGCAGCCATTCCTTCAGATACCTTCAACCTATTGTCAAGAGCTGTTACTATAGCAATACGCTACAGTGCTGTCAGAAGGCAAAGTGAACTAAAGGAAGGGTAAATATCTGTGATGTTGCATGCTTGTTCAAATTAAAGTTGGAAATTTAGGTTTGCATAACAGCAGTACACTTGCCTCTCGCCTCTTGGGTCTTGGGCTTGATTGGACTCAGGACTCGGCATTCCATGTGAGTAAAGTTCTCTCTCTGTTAGGTTTTTCTTAATTCAACGGTAATTCTTGGGGTTTCCTCTATACTCCAAAACCTACTGTGGTTTAGCCATCATCTAATAGATAGATTGGTTCAAAGGTTGTGTTAGGGTTTTTTAATTATTTTGACATCTTTAAATTTAAGTTGTTTGAAACAAAAAACAAAACAAAATAAACAAAAAAAAACAAAAACAAAAAAAACAAAAACAAAAAACAAACAAACAAAAAAAAACAAAAAAAACAAAACAAAATTAGTGCAAATTCTATTTACTTGTTATTACTTTTTATTACACTTCTAGAGAAGGTGAACTTCAAGTAATAGACTTCAAAACTCAACAGTACAGGTTGTTGCCTGCATTAGCCACTTCATATGCCTTCAAGTTTGCTGCTGTTCGAGTGTTGAGAGAATATTACACATTGAAAAATAAGATGTCAGTAGGGGATTTTTCAAGTCTTCCTGAGGTGAGCTTGACATATTTATGGAAGTACTGTGGTTCATGGAAGCAATATTATGAAAGACAGAGACAGTAAACAGAAGAGGAGCATGAGTGCACTCTTCTTCCTTAAAATCTATTTTCCCAATTTTGTAAAAATCTCTTTTGTGTCTGCTTTGCTCTTCTGTTCTCTCCTCTATTTTGCGAATGGTCCTTTCCCAAAGTAGCCAGGAGAGCAGGCATTCTTTTGATGGGTTTGAGGAAGAATCAGGGTTTTGGGGTTCCTGTTTTGACCAAGGGCCTGCGAGAAAAATCTCGCTTGTTCCAAAGTTCCCCCAAAACCCCGGTTTTTCCCCAAACCCAAAAGAACGCCTACTTTGCAGGCTATTCCCAAAGCAAATCAGTTCATTGGCCTACATTATTGCATATTCTTTTTACTCTTTTTCTCTTGTTTTTTTTATAGATGCATTCCATCACTAGCAGTTTAAAGGCATTTATTACTGGACAGGGCCTTAAGTATTCAGAGAATTGTCGACTTTGTTGTGGAGGGCATGGATACTCTGTTTTTAGTATGTTGCCTGACATCTACATGTTGATTAATGCTTCTTGTACTTATGAAGGAGATAATGTCGTGCTTTTCCTTCAAGTTGCGAGGTAAAATTTTCTATGTGCTTGATTAGTAGGTAGACAGTACCGAAATAAGTTATCGGAGTGCCTCATTGAACAAATTTGGTCCCTTTCAGGCTCTCTAAAATAATTGTTTTAATTAGATAAAAGGAACTGGAATAAGTTAGTGGAGTTCCTCAATGATCAATTTTTGGTCCCTTTTTGGGCACTCCAAATATTGTTGTATTAGATACAGGACATTGAAGTAAGTTATTGGAGTGCCTCAGTGCTCAGTTTTGGGTCCCCTTTTATTTGATATAAGGCTCTGGAGTCAGACATATAAACAGCTCTATACACCAAAGTAAACTGTTTTCATTGGCTGAGAGAATCAACTAATTGCTTGAAAAATTGAAAGTTGCTCGTAATGCTTTATAAATATATTTTGATTCTAACGCTTCTGTAACGCTGCATGAGCTTTAAACGCAAAATTCGTGCAACATTTGTTTTTGTCTGTAATTGCAGAGACCTCTCAGCTTTAGTAATTATAGTTGCATTCATAATCTCATCGCAAAAATTCCAAATGTTTTCTCCTCAGGTATCTGTTGAAGTGTGTGAATTCAGCCCGATCTGGCAAAGACCTACCTTCTACAGTATCGTATCTCAATGACCATGATAATGGTATGGCCAGTAACGCCACTACAACAGAACAGTTTTTAGACCCAAGTGTTCAATTAAAACTCTACAGTAACAGATCAAAAAGGTATGAGGAAAAATTCAGTAAAGTCTGTTTTACTTACAGAGCTTCTCAATCACACGCGCGAAATCGTGAAAAAAAAATTCGAGAGTTTTGGTGGACGCCAATCAAAGTCTTCCCCAGCAATGTCGGAAAACACAAAGCTTTTAAGGGTACGTGCCTATGGAATGTCATGGAAACGCATTGATTGACGTCCACCAAAATCTACTTCGTCACGATGGCAAATTGTACGATTTCACGTGTGTGATTGAGCGAGCAAGAGCACCGGTACTAGTGATAAGAGAATATCTTGTATGACTGTGAAACAGTATGACATATATCATCACGGTCACGGTACGATGCATTTGAACCAATCACAGCGCATGACATCACAGGCAATAAAAGTACTCAGATGCTGTACTGTCACAGTCAAAGCATGGCGCACCCTAGCTGTGAGTGGCATCTGATTTTATATTAATTTTTGATAGAATGATCACCACTGTAGCAGAGAAGATGCACGCTAAAGTGATGAACGGAATGGACCCAATGGACGCCTGGAATGCATTTTCTGCGGACCTTCTACAGTGCGCCATTGTAAGTTAGTTAGAAAATGTTTCATTTCTTGCCAGGGAATAAGCTCAATCCAAACCTACTGACATGCGCAATACCATTTGATTGACAGGCCCATAGTCACTACCTGACAGTGCTGTATTATACAGATTTTCTTCGAACTGGTCTGGCCAACGTCAGCCGACCAATAGCTCGAGTCCTTAAACTCATGTCAGACATTTATGCTCTGCATGGAATAGTAGAGAACTCCGGTAGCTTTTTAGAGGTAAGCAGTTTTCAGCAACACGAAAACTTACGAGGGAAGCCTTAGAATATAGAATAAGTTCACTGATAACAATATTCTCTTGTAATTCTACAGAACGGCGTGTTGAATGTAAAGCAAGTGGCTTTGATAAGAGAGCAGCTGAATTTACTTCTGGAGCAACTCAGGTTGGTAAAGATTTAGTGTCAACAACCGTTTCTCACTCCTTACCCCACCTCATCCCCCCCACCCCTCGCCTCGCCTCGGGAGAAAAGGGGGAACTGAGTTTGGGGGAGAGAAGGGGGGAGGACAGGTATTGGTTGCACGCATACTCTTTTTTCCTCTTTATCCCATAATTATGATTATCCATTAATGAGCACATAATCAGGGTTTGGGTATCCTGTGTTTTCCCCCAGACCTGATGCTGTTCCACTAGTAGATGCCTTTGACTACTCTGATCGTCACCTCAACTCTGCCCTGGGCAGATACGATGGGAATGTCTATCAACAGCTCTTCGACTGGGCACAGAGATCACAGCTAAACAGACAACCTGTGAGTTGATTTTAGTTTGTCCTTTTCTGTTTACCTATAACGTTTGCAAAATTTATCAACTGACAGCACGCCGACATATTCCAGTTCTGAGTTCTCTGTTGATCAGGCTTACTCTCCATTTTGTGTAGAATATTCATATGTTCCAGGGAAGGTCCGTATATTTAAAGTGCTACTCTGACGAAAATCGCTCAAACTTGGATTCAGCTGAAACGTCCTAAGAATACTCTTTAAAGGTCCAATAATCACTGTATAAAGTGTCAACATCGAACATCGCTCCATACATTTCTTTGTAGTTTATGATCAAAATATCAGTAGTAAAGGGAGAAAGAAATACGCAAACACCCCAAAATATAAATTATAGCCACAAGTAATGTTAAATAAGCACATTAGCCACCCTTTGGGCTTCATAGGAATAAAATAAATTAAGGATTTATATACAAAGAAATATGTGTAGCAATGTTTGATGTTGAGTGTATGACGTCACAGAATCCAATAAATAATCGTAAAAATATCATACTTTCGTCCTGAATATTGAGAAAACACTTCATACAGTGATTATTGGACCTTTAAAGAGTATTCTTAGTAAGTTTCAGCTGAATCCAAGTTTGAGCGATTTTCGTCAAAGTAGCACTTTAAAGGTTTTTGTATTGTTGAAGTTGTGCGTTCTTTACTTTGAGCCTGGTTCTAGCTACTGACGCAAGAAGACGCAACTCCATGTTCCCACTAGGAAAAGAAGCGACGCATGCGCAAGAGAACGGAAGAGTTTGTTTTTCTTGTGTTGGCTTGCGCTTGTGTTTATGCTCGTGTCAGCTTGCTTCGCTCGTGAGAACCAAGACACTACAAGACACACACTGCGTCATTTCCAACCAGTATATCTAACCTCACAAGCACACGAAAACTTTTCGAATTTCTCTTCTTTACTTTGTACCCTTCTTTTTTTTGGTTTTCAGGTTCTTCCAGCGTATGACAAGTATCTTAAACCCTTGCTACAGAAAGGGAAGGCCAAGTTGTAGAAATCTGTCACAAGATCTAATTTTTAAACAATCTTTAAAAATATATATTTTGATGCAATTTCGCATTCTTTCAGATCGATCTTGGTATCTTGTTTCTGAAAGCCAGGAACTTTGATCGATTAGAAAAGAAAATATAACCATTTTTATATTTGGGGGCGGAACAAATTCATTATGAATACCGGCAGGGCCGTGTTGGATATTTTCAACCAAACTTGATCAAAATGAATTGTGAAAACGATGTCTGTGCAAGCAATAAAAATCTGTTTTTATCATCTTCATACGTGATTAATTTTTTCGGGACGATCGGCGTCGCGTAGAAGTAGGTTTTTGTGGAGACGTAAGTCAACGTGTTTCCATGGCAATGTCAAATCTGCGCAAACCTGCAAATAAAGGCGATTGAAAGCTGGAAGCCAAGCAGAAAAAGAAGGGAAGGAATAAAATAATAAAAAACAAACCGCGTGACAAATTATAGTTTCGCTAAAAGTTATTCTATAATATTGAGCTAAATTGAATTTCCCTTCTACACCGTTCGTATTTCACAGCAAGGCTGTTTCCACGTGTGGTTTGTCTTCCCGTGTGCCTGGTACTTAGATACTCTAGCAACGAATGTAATTAAATCAACAAATTGGTCGTAGTCAAGGTAACAGAAAAATACTACTCGGCCGCCACTTTGGTTGATCTTTCTAGATCTTGTATCAAATATACATGACGTCGGCCATTATTTTGGAAATAGTAGATGATCGCAAACCATGCGCGTATACAGAGAAATCTACTTTGTTAAACTAATCTAATTAGGGAAGTAGCTAGCTAGACACCTCAGGAGATGGTTGTCAAAATACACCTATTTCAGAAATCGTTGTCGCACCAAAAGCCTCAAGCAACAAGCCAAGACCGCAGAGAACGCTGGTACTTTTAGCTGTAGTTAGTTTATTCATGGTGCATTTTCATTTATTGACTTCACAAATTGCTCCAAGCAAGGCTGCTTGAGATGATAAATAGTGGAGAGCTACAGCCACTTGCATGAACCAAGAATAAATAAATTATCATTAAAAGAACCGACGTGCGTTCTCTGGAGCGTTTGCTTGTTACTCGGCAGTTGAGGCTCTTGGTGCGACAACGATCTTCGAAATAGGTGTATATAAACTCTAAGAAATGACACATCAGGGGGGAGGGGAGGAGAGGAGAGGGGGTTTGAAAGCTTTTGATAGCTGCTTCAATTTATTTCCATAAACATCCCAAAGTATTCCTACAAAACGTTGTGTCACCAAACCATCTATCAATGCATTCTGCAAAATCAGAAGTATATAAGTTAGGATTAATTCATTTGGATTATCAGGCCTATGTACTTTTTTACAGTACTGTAACATATTGATGGGTTGCAAGCATTCCTAAGAGAGTTAAAAGACAAAAACATGGCGGCCATTGTGGTACCGTTAACATTGGATGCTAATGAGAAATCTTTTGTTAAATGGTACCAACATTGCCGCGATGACGTAACGTGCAAACGAAAAATTGTACTGCATTATTGCATTGTAAACAAGTGTAGTCTGGTGATCGATAAAGCAGTTCCCAAATAAATCTTTTTGTGAGTAATATTTTCCCATTGCAGACGGCGAGACCATCTACGCGCAAAACAAATCAGGATCTCAGGCGATTAAAGTTTCTCAAAACAACTCAGATAATGGAATAGGTTCATTCGTTTTGTTTTCCCATTTCAGTCCACGTGTCATTCCCTTGGGGATTGTTACGTGTTCGCGAAAATGCTTGTTATATAAAACACATATAATTGTAAATGTAGAAGAGATTTAAACCAAAGAATCTTTTAAAATATGGAACACATTACGATCAATCTGAATGGGTCTAACAAACCTCCCGGCTAAATTAGCAATTATGGATCATTTTTTCTGGTTTCTCACAAATAATTTATATAAACGAGATTTGAGTTTTACATAGGCGGCGAAGTGGGATGAATTATTCAAATCAATATTGTTGAGGAAATAAAACTCCTAGCTAACGTTATCATTGTTGGAGGTGGTTATTTGAAAGAGAAATGAGAGAACCAGAAATAAAGGAAAATAAATTACTTCGTTTTTTGCTCTTTCCTCTCTCGTCCCCTTTACGTACTGCAAAAAAAGTGTTTAAATACTGACAACGTAGCATTCTTTTGTATATGGGTGTTATCTATAAATAGTTACAGCAGTCCATCTTTTCTGAACATTTTTCGCCTTATTACATTTTGTATTGTTATTGTTTGCGAGAGGAAAGACAGAGACAGAGGAAGGAAGGAAGGAAGGAAGGAAGGAAGGAAGGAAGGAAGGAAGGAAGCAAGCAAGACCGAGAAAGGAATAGTATAAAATTGATGGAACAATNGCCGCGATGACGTAACGTGCAAACGAAAAATTGTACTGCATTATTGCATTGTAAACAAGTGTAGTCTGGTGATCGATAAAGCAGTTCCCAAATAAATCTTTTTGTGAGTAATATTTTCCCATTGCAGACGGCGAGACCATCTACGCGCAAAACAAATCAGGATCTCAGGCGATTAAAGTTTCTCAAAACAACTCAGATAATGGAATAGGTTCATTCGTTTTGTTTTCCCATTTCAGTCCACGTGTCATTCCCTTGGGGATTGTTACGTGTTCGCGAAAATGCTTGTTATATAAAACACATATAATTGTAAATGTAGAAGAGATTTAAACCAAAGAATCTTTTAAAATATGGAACACATTACGATCAATCTGAATGGGTCTAACAAACCTCCCGGCTAAATTAGCAATTATGGATCATTTTTTCTGGTTTCTCACAAATAATTTATATAAACGAGATTTGAGTTTTACATAGGCGGCGAAGTGGGATGAATTATTCAAATCAATATTGTTGAGGAAATAAAACTCCTAGCTAACGTTATCATTGTTGGAGGTGGTTATTTGAAAGAGAAATGAGAGAACCAGAAATAAAGGAAAATAAATTACTTCGTTTTTTGCTCTTTCCTCTCTCGTCCCCTTTACGTACTGCAAAAAAAGTGTTTAAATACTGACAACGTAGCATTCTTTTGTATATGGGTGTTATCTATAAATAGTTACAGCAGTCCATCTTTTCTGAACATTTTTCGCCTTATTACATTTTGTATTGTTATTGTTTGCGAGAGGAAAGACAGAGACAGAGCAAGGAAGCAAGGAAGCAAGGAAGCAAGGAAGCAAGGAAGCAAGGAAGCAAGGAAGGCCGAGAAAGGAATAGTATAAAATTGATGGAACAATGCAACGAAAGATAACGAATGAAAGAAGAGACAAAAAGAGAGAAAGAAAGAAAAGAAAAATATTTTGTTTTGCATTAACATCAACAAACTTCGCAAGGCAGAATCGTTTACAATAATCAATCTTTATAACAATGGATGCTCAGGCAAAGCTGCGGCAATTAAGATAAAGTCTGCATAATCACTTCCACTATAATTCCAAGTTATGTTTAGTTAGGTTGTGATCGAAAACGAGAAACGCATTAAAAACCAGTTAAAAAACCCCTCTCTCAAGCTTATCTAACTGTTATCTCATTATATATCTCATTACATGTTATGAGAATAATATACGGACCTGTTAAAGGAGCTATTTGGATCTAATATATTAATTCAGACGAATATCAGCCGTATCATGGACACAACCTTCTTTGGCAACAACACGAGTCTGCTCCCACCTGAATGAGCACCTTTTATTACCAATTTTCTTTTTAATTCATCTTTTTCATGTACTTAACAAGCCGTTAACTTAGCCTTGCAGGATTAACAATTTGTCTTTATTGATATTGAGGTCTGCAAAATCCCCTCTTTTTTATCATTAACGGCTCGATTGTTTGTCGAATTGATTTAAAAAATTAAAATTAATTTCGCCGCAGGCCAATTATTTTTTAACGTTAACACAGGTAAACTAAACATTTTTTAAGCAGAAAGAAGCTACCGGATTATTTCTTTTTCAATATGATTTAATGAGTTTGTAAATGGAAACGAGTATAATAGTTGGCAAGAGGTTACTAAAGCCAGAGCAGTACGGATCTTTGTTGATCGCAAAGGGAACAACGTAGAGACGTCGAGGTAAGGTGAAGTGATTTTAAAGGGGAAAAAGAAAAAAGAAAAAAAACAGAAGAGAAAAGAGAGGAAAAACAAAACAAAACAAAAACAACAAAAACTGGTGGCTTTAAATTTGTTTTGAAGAAAATTATTTCTGCGTCATTGGTGCAGTAGCTTTCCTTTTCCTAATATAAGAAAAAGTTAATACATTTTTTTAAAAAAGAAACGGGAAGAAACAGAAATAAGGAATATATTTTTTTAGACTTTTTCTCATTTATTTATTCGCGGGAAAAAAGTAACAGCATTTTTATAACAATATTATTTGATATTTATTAATATTATGATATTCATCAATTTATGAGGCTAAATTGGCTACTAAGGCTAGTTTACCGAAACGACTAAAAAGTAGGAAAAATCCGAAGCGATATAAAACTAAGTTTAGATAATTTTAGATTTATCCAATTCATCTTTAGAAATACCTGAAAAACGTTCAACTTTTATTTATTGAACTTTTAAGTAAACTTCAAATCGAGATGGAACTACGTCATGACCAACGTGACCGACGTCTGCTTGTATGGATACTTCTGGTCAGCGTACTTCTACATAACGTCACGTGTAAAGGTAACCAAGTCCGTTAATGAATTTCATGCTTTGGGCTCCCTGTGGTCTTGCATAATTTGTTTTTGCTGAAGAGGTCCGCAAGTGACTCTTGACTCTTATTTTTTTGAAAGTCCGGAAACGTATTGGTTAATTTGCAATGATATAAATGACAAACTTTTCGTCTTGCCAAAGATATTTTGCTGATATAAAATAACGTTCGATTCCTTAAAGCTCGGGAACTTTTTTGAATGTCATAGACCTTGCCCATTTAGACAGAGCAGAAAAACGACAAGGCTGCTACTTTCGCAATTTTTTTCTTTATCTCTCATTCATGATAAAAAACGTTTATTGTTTCATTCGTGTCTCTTGTGCTTTAAACTTTTCACAAAATTCTGCTAACCTCGAGCAATTCAGTCTACTTCGAGGTATTAGCGAAAATGTTAGTTTTTGTGCTGATCAAAATATCATCTCTCCCAACGTTCAGGGCGTTATATCTCAAATACGCATTCCTTTAATTTCCCAGAATTTTGGTATTTTGTTAATCAGCCCCAAAAGAGCCTATTTATGAAATATAAAGCTTATTAACGCATAAACGTCGAAAGTAGAACCCGTTTTTCTGCCCTGTCGCCCATTTATTCGTACGATTTTTAGGTATATATTTTTTCATAGGCCCAGAAATGAAGCGAACGTCCAGTACCTGCCATTGTCATAAGGACATAGGGAGATGTATTACTAAAGACGATGGCAGTCAAGTCTGTTCGTGCCCTGAAAGGTACAGAGGCCGCATGTGTGAATGTAAGTATTGAATACACATCATGAATATTTAGATTAGAAATACTTTTCTGGATTGCGATGTTGTCATAAGGTGCGCATCCAATCTCGTACCCAGAGCCCTTATTTCTTACTGCGCATGCTCGACGAAATAATTGGGCTCTGAAAAACTCCAAACCGGAAGACCCAGATTCTGGGTTTCTCGCACATGCGCATTATGACAGACTAGGTAAATTCAAAATGGCGGACGATGTTCAACGAGCATCTGAATTTGCGCTTGGAAAATTAGGTTTTGAAGATGGTTTTCAGTTGAATTAACTCCGAAAATATCTATTGGATGGACATCAATACAATTTCCATTACAAAACCGGCAAAACTTTGAAAAATCCGGCCCTACAGGCTTTTTTGGTGTACTTAATTCGAGACGACGTCTTGTTTGTTTTCCGGTATCTTCCTTTGTTCTCGAGAACCAATCACAGCACAGGAAATATTGGAGTTTTCCAGAGCCCAATTATTTCGTCGAGCATGCGCAGTAAGAAATAAGGGCTCTGGGTACGAGATTGGTGCGCATCAGAAATAAATTTTATTTTCGAGCATGCGCAGTAAGAAATAAAGGCTATGGGTTATTTCGTCGACCATGCGAAGTAAGAAATAAAGGCTCTAGGTACGAGATTGGTTTTTTCGTCGAGCATGCGCAGTAAGAAATAAAGGCTCTAGGTACGAGATTGGTTTTTTCGTNAGGCTCTAGGTACGAGATTGGTTTTTTCGTCGAGCATGCGCAGTAAGAAATAAAGGCTCTAGGTACGAGATTGGTTTTTTCGTCGAGCATGCGCATTACGAAATAAAGGCTCTGGGTACGGGATTGTTTTTTGCGTCGAGCATGTGCAGTAAGAAATAAAGGCTCTAGGTACGAGATTGGGTTGGGTTCATAATAGTATATCGTTCTATCGTAATCTTTTACTAACATAAGTTGATACAATTTGTTAGTCGACTGCCGTAAAGCGTCAGATAAGGAATGCCAAAGTTTAAGGAGCTGGAGCATCTGTGTAAAACATCGGGATTGGATGCAAGCGTGCTGCAAGAGAACTTGCGAAGGTAATTTAGTTTCACTTTCTAATCTAGATCTAGTGCGTGACAAAAATATGTAGAATTTGGATTACGTGACATGCGTGACATTATATATATAGACCTCTTGACCTCTGTAAAGGTTTGTATTGTTGAAGTTGTGCATTCTTTACTTTACTGTCGGTATTTGTGAATATTTAGACACTGAAATGAGGTAACACTGAATAAATGATTCTGCAATCAAGGAACACAGCAGTGTTTTGCATAGCGTTTTTGTTATTGGCTTCCGTCGATCAAAATATTTACTACTAGCTCAGACCGTTTGAGTGAGAAAATTTGAGTGAAGGAAGTCAAAAACCCACACATATCGAAGTATAGGCTTGTTATCTTGCTGGCGTAAATATGAAAATGGGCATGCAAATTAAAGGAAAATGTCTGGACCATAATTCTAATATTTGGTGCTTCTATTAGGGTTCAAAAACACTTGTGCCGACGTTAATCCTGTGGATTGCAAATGGTTGGAATCACATGGTGAATGCAAAAAGAATCTAAACTGGATGAGAACTTGCTGTGGATTATGTTTTGGTAGGTAGGGTCATCGACTAGAACACCATTCTTGGGGTGCATGTAACGTCAAAGCCGCCATGTTGGTTGACTATACAAAGCATCCCTCGTTAAGCTTCTCTCGTTTCATCGTTTTGAATAAAAAAGAGTGAGCCAGCAACTTCCAACTGTCCATAAACTCTATTGAAACGTTTTGACCGTATATATATATATGCAAAAACTTTGACCCTTTTGTACATATATACAAGTATACCAGAAATTATGGGATATCATTCCTGATATTTTTTGAGCTGTCTATCACTAGGGCTTTCACTAGTTTATGTGTGTATTTATATCGAGAGCTTTTTCGGTCACGTGGTTGCACTTCAAGAATGGACGCTTCCTCACGCGGCTGAAACAAAGATTTTTTCTACGCGCTGCCTCGCATTCAAACGTTCCAGGATGAAGCAACGCGAGGTTAAAAGCTCATAAGAATAAACATGGCGCCGTGATAAACTGAGTCAATGGCTTGTTCAACGAGGTCGTCCCTAAACTTACGCTCGCTTTCGACATTCCTCTTTGGTAGGATCGAGACTAGCGTGAGTATAGTACACTCGCCTTTCACATCTGATGTCTCGCATCCGATTCATAGAATCGAGGTTACATGCCAGTGGGGCTTATTGGGTCAATACCTGGGTTTTTCTCCAGGGAACCTGGCTTTTCTCTCTCCGAAAAACCTAACCAGCTAAACTCCAATTCATTCCACGAATTAGCCATGCACTGACTTAGATCAGCCCAGAGGTTGTTTCAGGGTTCGATCTGTGAGTTAGCCGTGCCCTGACGTAGATCAGCCCAGAGGTTGTTCCAGGGTTCGATCTGTGAGTTAGCTGTGCCCTGACTTGGATCAGCCCAGAGGTTGTTTCAGGGTTCGATCTGTGAGTTAGCCACGCCCTGATTTTGATCAGCCCAGAGGCCGTACCGTTGTTGTAACGATAAAATTTGAAGGATTTTAAAATCCGTATTGTTGGATGTTAAAGCATAGAAAGAGGGGTTAAAGGGCGTGCTAACGGCCTCCTGGAAACTGACGAGCTACCAAAAGTGATACCAACAAGAAACAATCTTTTTTTCTTCAGACAACAATCCAAAATGTAAAGACAAAAATCCCATTCAATGTCCTCTCTGGAAAGAACGCGGAGAATGCGAAAAGAACATCAAATATATGTACAAAAACTGCTTAAAAAGCTGCATCGGCTGCTAAAAGGGACGCAGTTACCACACAGGTAGCCCAACAACAATTTCAAGACATCACGTAACAACAGTAACAAAATGAATCCAATGTAGTAAGTAAACTATAATGATATTAAACAGCTTTGAAAATAGTGTGTTTAGTTTGTTGTTGTCATTTTGAAGAAAAGTCATGTACGACGCAGTGTTATGTTTATTATAGTAAATTAATTTGGTGATCGCATTTCTGTGCCCTACCACGAAGTACTATGCGACTAAATCTAAAGATATCGATCTAGAATTCTTGATCCTGGTCTTATTATTCGGGCTCCCTGTAGACGTTCGTTTTAATTTTTTCTATCCCTCACAAATCGCTAATCTGTTTAGGTCGTATGCGCTTTGCTTATGGACATACACTTATTTCAATAAAGTTAGTCACCTGAAAAGCTACAAAGCTGAGACCGACAAGGATTATGGGTAGATACATTTTACGTGTTTCAACCGCTTGATAACTGTTGATGGACTCAAGATCTTCTACCAGTTACAAGCTGACCTCCTCTGAGCATCCTCAACTGCTGCAGTTTGTGTCAAAAGCTTTATTTGTTGGATATAAAACATTTCCCCATGATTCTCAGCGATCACGGCTTTCTAGGTTTTTGGTGACTAACTTTATTGAAATAATTATATAATAACAGTGAACTCAAATCCAACTAGTGGTCTATATCATGCTGCGTTCTGATTGGATGAGGTACTACTAGCCTACTAGTAGCGAAAAGTGCCAGCTTTGAAAACTAAAAACATTCAATTTAACTGTAATTCAAAACTTGTTTGCATCTATATATTTGACCGACTAGTTGGATTTGACTAAAACAGTTAGTCCTCTCGTCCTCATGGCCCGAGTCAATAGTCCATTCGGGCTCGAGGACTAACTAAAAGCGCAGCACAAACCAGAGCCAAGAAACAAGCCCTTCTAAGCCCGAGTACACAATAATTTAGATAATTTAGTTGAACTTTGATAAACACCAAATGAAATTGTTTTATTAATTACCTTATTTTAGAAATTTATTTATAAGTTAGTGTAAGATAAATATTGGCTTTTTTACAGTGTTTGTAGTGTTTTTCTGTTAAGCAATATTATTTTTTCGTTTACACTTGGCGTGACGCAAGTCAATGTCAATCTAATGCCTTTATTAGTCACGTAAGGTTATCATTAAGTTGCGTCACGCAAATCACTCTTTTTTTATTTTYAGCGTTACGCAATTATTTAACATGGATTTTGCATAATTATGGAAAGTCATGGTACAGATTAATGTTGAGACAATCACAACGCGTGAGATCCCTGCCCATGCAATCAAAATGCTCGGACATGACTCCGTCACGGCCACGGTACGGCATTAATGGCATCTGTTGCGCCAGTCACAGCAAGAGATATCCCTGCTCAGCTTTTTAGACAAAGCAGTCACTATCACGCAATCGTACCATGAGGTTTACACTGTCATACAAAATCTGCCTTAATTTTTGTAGCGTCACGAAAGCTATATTTTAATCCAGTTTACGTGACTTATTAAGCTTGGTTGAAGGTTAATACAGGTAATGGTCAATGCAAAGTGGTGATCGATATTGACACAAGAATGACTTTCCCAATGTTCAGTAAACAAGTCCTTCGGGTAGATATACCCCGATTCAATATGCTCAGTATCGATTCTACTTGAAGTGAATAGATGAATGGTAAACTCAAATCCCGAAATATTTGCGTGACAGACGATGCGTGACAGACGATGCGTGACAGACACTAAGAACATCTGTGTAGAGGGCTAGAATCTATACTGAGAATCTTAAATCAGAGGTTATACTACTCTTCCCAGTAGACCGAGGCAGCTGGAATTTTTTTAATCTCCTTCATAGCGTCTGTCATGTTAACCGCAAGTGCATTTCAAATCGACCACGTGATGCCAATGTTATACCACGTGGACAAGTTTTTTGCGCCACGTGATTAAAACTTGACTGAATTTTGATCACGTGGTGTAAAAAACTTGTCCACGTGGTACAACACTGACATCACGTGGTCGATTTGAAATGTTACTTCTGGATAACATAACAGAGGCCAGGTCTACTTGCCTATTATACCCTACCAGGGGCAATAATTCTTATTAAATAACAACATAATACTTTCCTTAGGAGCAACATAATGTGATAATTAGTAAATAGTACCTAATATTTAGGGCAATTTAACATCTAGTAAATAGTAATTTTAAAATATATCCTTTTACAATACTCGTGAACATAGATAGATTTTCAGCATTGGTGTCATATCCGCCGCGGACGAACCGTGACACAGGCAACCCATTCGGTTAAAAAAGTCTTGAAAAACGTTGTGGGCAACCGTGTAGCTTTGCGGTAGATTAGGTAAACCAAAGCTTGAAAATTGTTCGTTGTTAGGATACCGATCTTTTAAAGATCTAATATATAAATAATAATAACGATAATGATGATAAAGATAGCGTAATTAAATAAACGGATAACTTGCTTGAAATAAGCGAATGGATAAAATATTCGTTTGTTAACATAAATAAACTAAAATTCTATTAAGTGATACTAATAAAAGAAAATATGATAGCCAAGCTCCCTACGGGTTAAAATAACGCTTATTGTTTACTCAACTCAATCTGTTTACTCGTAATGTTAGTCTTATTCTTTGTTTATTTTTGTGTGTGTGACGTCATGGCCGCCATCTTGACGACCAACATGCACATCACCATGGCAACACTGCCACCTTGTGTAGGAAATTGCATGACCTCGAGTACAATTTGTAAGTAATAGGTACGAGTGATGTTTTGAGGAGCCCTTAGGCGAAATGTACACTTCCTAAACTAATATAAAGACAAAAAGAGAGAGCGCGAGATAACAAGTAATAATGTCGTACTAATTCCTTTAAATATAGGTAGGAAATTCGAGACATTTTCATATAGGGTCAAGCTTTTGAGAATACTTACTTTAGATAATAAATATTCTTCATAACTAGCCTTATCTTGGATAGCAAAAATGATGCATTCTGGTATAGAATGAGTACAAAACCTTATACCCACATTATCTTAATAGAGTGCATTTCAATAGAGTAACGGTAGTAAACCTATGGAGGAGTTTTTGTATGAGTGGGAAACGATACTTGTAGCCGTAACTACGCTTTTGATTGGATGAATTACTGAAAGACAATCAGAGAAGTCAATTCAATTTTAAACCATGCCGTGCAGTGTACGTGATTAATCTCTCACTCATACGATAACCAATCTCATGGGAAACCATTTCAATGTTACGGCATGTCGTACCGTGTGCGTGCTGTAAGTCAGTAGCGTACGTTTCCCACTCATACGATATCCATTCTTATGGGAAGCAATTTCAATGTCGTGTGTCCTGTAAGTCACGTGCTATATGTTAGTACCGCAAGACTCCCACTCATGCGATAACCATTCTCATGGCTAGCCATTTCAATGCTAGGGCATGTAGTACTGCTGCTGTAGTGCAGTTTTCGTATGACTGTGATTAAGTTCACGGCACGAACACAGTCGTGACACAGCAAGGGATACGCCAGACAAATCACATTGTACGAGAATTTACCCTCCATCCAATCAAATACCCGGAACACGGCATAAACACGACGCGGACACGGTCACGCCAAGATCACGGCACTGCCAGACCAATCATATTGCGCGTGAAAAAAATAAGCCAATTAAAATTCTAGAAAGTATCACGGTCACGGCACGTCACGCTTCCGGCTCTGAGCTTTTCACAGTCATACGAAAACTGCTCTAAGTCATTACCGTATAATGTTTCCCACTCATATAAAAAGTAATCTAGCATAGAATACTTACACTACTTTCTCAGATTACTACTAGCGCTTTCTAGCTTTCGTTCTTCTATCCGAGCCATTGCGGCGTGGATTCTAAAACTGAGCCGGTTCTCAAAGTCGTACCCATTGTAATTATCCTGAAAATAGGACATAAAGGAAGTTCAGGTAGAACAGAAAAAAATAGAGATAGATAAGACGACATTACACTAGTTATTATACTACACACTCAATTTCCCGTGTATTACGGCCATTTTTCGAGTGCAATTACAGATCGATAATACACTTCTCTCGTGTTCTGCCAATCCCCGCGTGCGTTTTCTATTTCTTTAGTAATACACACTGAACTATCAGTTAAATAACTTCTATTTACATTATAAGGAACTAATGCGATTTCTTATTCGACTCGTCCCACGAAAAAAGCTGTTGTGGAAGTAAAAACCTGTTACACGAGAAAAATTCACTGCGTGGATATTTTGTCGCGCAGAAAAGTTTTGCAAGATGTAGAAAGTAGAGGTATTTTTCAGCACAAAAAACATGAAGATACAAAATGCGCAAGTGAATGTTAAGTGTAAACAATAAAGGTCGTATAACCTGCATTAACGTAATTCCCCGAGACAAGTAGACGAGAAATCGTAGCGTAGGAAAGCAGAGGAAACTAGGCAAGATGCATGCAATTGAAGTATCTAGGAATGTGGGAATGTTAGGGGAAGGAATAATAATACCTTAACACGCCGGAGTAATTCTTCTCCTTTGTCACTTGTCTGATGGAATAAGAAAATAGAAACACGTTAAGAGAACTTAATAAGTTTGTGTGATTTAGATCTGGGTGTATTGAAGACTTCTCGGTACAGTGCCCCAGGACCGTGAGGCGAAGCAGAAGCAGAGCCGCGCGTGTAGCATGGCACAAAGGTCCTCTGATGTTTCCTCCAATAGGAAATTGCCTTTTATCTACCAATGATGTTGCGTGATGAAAGTGTCCTGTGCAAAATATTCCCTTGGAGGAGATATCACAGTAGTAGTGTTAGACACGTGTGTTTTAGATCCTCTTTTACGTCCGAAACGTCAGTAAGTTTTTTCATCTTTTTCACGGTGTATAATTTACCTTTTCATCATCATTGTTTCATTAGAAACACCGACGCAGCTCACACTAGTTTTTAGCTAGTTATATCTTCTGTTTTAGATCTAGTAAGTTCGAGTTCGTTGAGAGTTCAATATTACAAGTTCTAATTTAAAGAAAGTTAGTTTCCAAGTTATAATCAATTTCTTTCAATTATCAGAAGAAAGTCAGCAAGGCACGAAATTAACTTTTAAACCCACTAGCAAAACCTTGCTAGTAAGTTTTGTTCCTTAATAAACATAAATGGAGTTCCTGTGTAGGACAGTAGAGGAGAGACCTGAACGTGGTGGCCCGAGACCTCTACTCTTGTCTCAGTCTTCCCTCTTCTATCTGTCTATCTGGACCCCACAGAATCCAGATTAAGTTTAAATGTCATACTACGAAACCGCGTAGGAGGAGGTGCTGGGGGTTAAAGTCCCCACTTTTTTTCCTTTTGTGTGCTAGCCTCTCAAATTGTCCAATCTTAACCCCCCCCCCCTCTCCCTTAGGGTGATCTGCGGTCCTTGCTCTTCCAAGGGTATTGGGCGGAGAATTGGTAACTATACGTACCCGCGTATCCTGAGCATACAACACTCCTAGTTCATAGGTAGCGAATGGCGGTACATGGGAATCAGGTGGTGATCTACCAGACTTGTGAATAGCTTCCTGGAAATACTACAACGGGAGAGAATGGATATTAGATTACCTGGAATAGAAGATATGGGTGTCCTTTTACTCTGACGAAGGACAAACGTCTGAAAAGTCTGTACAACTTCAAACGTTTTAACACACGCTGTTCAAGTTTCTTTCTTACTCGCTTGTTGTATTCAACTCACCCACGCAGCCCCCGCGCAGTCCCAACTAGTTTATTGCTTGTCATTATCTACTCAAAGCGCGGTTGCGGATCAGATCACAATAGAGACCTTTTCCTCTAACCTCTAGGGATCAGGCCAAGAACACGCCCACAAACACAGAGAAACACTGAGCATCCATGAAATTCAATATGGCGGCTCTTCCAGCAACAACTTTGTTACGATGCCTTGATGGGAGAACCTACATAGCACTCAGTTGATGTAATGTATTCATAAAATCTATTGTATTTTATTGTCCCTCTATCTAATGTATTGGGTGTGACTCATTGCATTTTTAGGAATACATTACATCAATTGCTTGCTACGTAGGCTCTCCCACGCCTTGATGAATGTTGAAAGTTTGAGGGAAAACGCCTGACGTTTAACTGCAGTGTGTGGTTTGTGTGGCTAGCAAGAAAGTCGTGCTAAAGGTCTCTATTGTTGCTAGCGTTACCGCTACAACACCCTTGATTCCCTATTTCCCATGAACTAACCTTAACAGCCATGTCATTGTTCTTCAGTATTTGAAAAACAGACCCTTGCATCAATATTTTAAGGGGTATTAGATTAGAGCTAGGCCTACATCCTTCTAAATCTATAGTAAGGCATACAAACAACAATTAGCTACAGTAAAGTTTCTGTTCAAAACTGGAAGGCAAATAGGGCTCGACTGATGACATCGACTTTTGGTTCAGGTGTCTATCAGGGAAAAAAATAAATCACCTTCTTCCATACATCGCGTACAGGCGTATCATTAGAATCGATGGTGATGTTTAATTTACCTCTAGCCATTCTGTGTAGAACATCCTGACTACATGAGTAGAAAGCCCTCCATACATATAACAGTTCTAATGCCATCAGTAGACAATCATCTTCTGATGGTTCAATTTTCTTGTACTGTGAGGCCTGAAAAAGAACAAAAAGCACTTTAAATTGGTTAAGAATGCTATCGAAAATTGGATATAGGGAAAAGGGAAGGAAAGAAAAAAGGAAAAAATACCCCAAGTTATTACATAGAAAGAAGCCAATAAAGAATACAATAGGTTTACAATACATGCAGAAAGACCCAAGATAGTTTTAGTGCACCTTCATTTTCCTATAACATTCCCGTATGGTCCTCTGGTCACTCACAGTGCAGAAATACACTTCAAAACTCATCATCAAGATAGATTGGCGGTTAAGTACTGGGACGATGACTGGTCTTACCAGACCATGCCCAACCATGGAGGTAACCATGGAAACCACATTTTTCACAGTCTTGAAAAATCTGCTCAAAATGTGTGGGACTGGAAAGAACTAAGTGTTGTGAACATTACCCTTCTGAAGAGAAATTCCTCCAAAGGTGTTTTCTTTTTGACTAATTTCAATACAGATTTGAACTGAGTTTGGGCTTCACTGTTACTGCCTAACAATCCAATGGTCACTGAAAGAAAAGGATATGTATACAGTCATGCCTTCGCCATCAGTTTAAAATGATCAATTAGTACTAGGCCAAACAAAAAATAAGCGTGTTTCCTGTTGCATGAGAAAAATAATTGGGGTCGGTAGGTTGGATTTTTTTTACTGATACAACAGTGGAAATGAGCTTACTGGGAACCCTGTGGTGCATTTGGCAATGAAAAAATATTAGGATCAGCAAAAATCGTCAAGAAAATTAGAGTCGGTCGCGCAACAGGAAACACACTTATGTTTTTGTTTGGCCCTACCAATAATAAATCTTATGATTGATAACAGTCATGACAAAGTTTTTTTGTATCAATGTCACCAAAAGAATCTTCACTAATCCCATCATCACCTTAACTGTCATTGCTATTATCATCATCATCACCACCATAGGGGTGGATCCAGAGGGATGGTTGCAACCCCCCCATGAGAGTTTTCATTTCTTTTTCAAACAGAACTTGCTGTTCGTTTTTTGTTTTTCTGGTTTGGCATCTCTTACAGTGGACGCCTCTTGAATATAGAAACCCCTCTAAAAAATTCCTGGATTTCCCTCTGCACCATCAGTATCAGCATTGCCCACAATCAGCATCATCATCAGCAACATTATCACAGCAATCATCACCACCACCATCATCACTATCACTACCTATAAATGCCATATTGAAGAACCCTTATATTAGAATGGCTTTATCATACCTCCACACAAATAAGCATAGTATCCTTGAGACCATTTGGACTCCTCTTTCAGTCTGGAAAACATACAATCAAGATAAGACTTCAATTACAGCAACGTACACAGGTAAATTAGAAAAACATGAAGATCATGAAGATTGAGGATGACTAAATTTGAATATACTAAAGAATAATTGGTCATTGATTAGTATGCTTCCATCGAGTTTTGGGTGCACACAGGATGTTGCTAAGCACAAAGAAGCATAATGAGTAGCATGAGGTGTAGCCCAGCATGCCCGCATGCCTGCATGCTAATTAGCCAATCAGAGCCCTAGCGCATTACATTGTGGCTATAATATAATTATGGAGTGAAGACAATGGCTGTAGCTGCTTTTGCAGCATAGTATTGTTAAACTGTATAAAGTATTCTTATGTATATTCGTATAATATCAAATTTTGAAAAAGCTGGGTTTTACAGTCTGTATAAGGCCTTACCTGAAAAATGATGGAAGTGCATAATCCCATTCTAACTGTAGTAAGTGACACCACCCTATAACGCAATGAAAATATTGGTCAACAACACTTCTGTTATTTGTAAAACACAGGGTTAAAACTAATGGCTGGTCAACAAACAATGCCTGGCCAAATTGGCTTTTTCTCCAGCCATACACCTCTTAGGTCATTCCTCTTGATCAGTCACATTGACTACTGACATGTAGATCAGTCTGTGTCCAATAGTCATGTCTGGCCAAACACCTCTCAGGTCATTTCTTTTGACCAATCACATTGACTGGTCACATGTAGATCAGTCTGATGTGTGAAATAGACATGTCTGGCCAAACACCTCTCAGGTCATTCTTCTTGACCAGTCACATTGACTGGTCACATGTAGATCAGTCTGATGTGTCAAATAGTCATGTCTGGCCAAATACCTCTAAGGTCATTTCTCTTGACCAGTCACATTGACTGGTCACATGTAGATCAGTCTGATGTGTCAAATAGTCATGTCTGGCCAAACACCTCTA